CTTTCATAGTTGCCTCCTATGGTTGTAATGCAACCATTAGCTGAATATACTATCAATAAAATCCTGGGTCACAAGTACTCACCTTAAAAAAAAATTTAATTATTAAAATAATGTTGATTATAATGCATATGCAAAGTTTAACATCATTATGTGACCATTATGCAGATAAACTGTGATACTAGGTAGCTTAAGGATTAGAACATAGTTGGTAGCTCTTCTACAAAAATTCCCCCCTCTCGTGATTTTTATCCAATTAGAGCGAAATAGCAGGTGTAATGAAATCTTTAGAGTTAGGGGGAATTTTTTGATTAATTTTTGTGGGAACGGTGTCGTTTCGAATCCAATCATGTGACATCACAAGATTCGAGTAAGTTATTGTTTTGGCATAATAGATTCAATAAAATTACGAATATATATTGTTACAGTCTGGGTTGGAAGAGCAATATTCATGCATATATATTTCATATATCGGAACGGAATTGTTATAGATTTAGGTTGGAACGGTATTTCAAGTTGATACGAAATTTAAAGACAACTTTAAAGTCAACTTAAGTCAATTCTAAATTTAATACTGTATAATCGATAAATTTAATAGGAACTTAAGTTGATTTTAAATTCGACACTGTGGTAAATGTGTAATCGGTTTAAGAAATTACATTGTATCATCGTCAAAATCAAATATAAATCTTTTTCTTTTTTTTTCTTCTCTACCCGATGACCGAATCTCTTTTTACCTCATAATGTATTCAAAAAATTGCATTCCCCAAAAATTTTATCAACAAATCGATGAATAGGCGACATAAAGCCTTTATAACACGTGAAAATTTTGATTTTTGTATTATACAATAATTGGGGGTGTGAAAGATCGAACTTATTAAATTTGACTCAAACCTACCTGTGTTAATTGGGTTTCGCCAAGTTTATAAAGTTGGATAATATTCCTTCAAAGCTCGTAAAGTTTTAAAAGCGTCTATTATGCAATCTTTTTCACAGGTCTCGTTACAAGTAATATAAAATACAATTGCCAAAATACGTATGATAAAAATCATTGTAAATGTAATTAATTTGCAATACACAGTGTTATGAATAACCCTATCTTAAAGTGACTTAAACTCCAAAACAACGTACTCGATGGAATAATTTGGAATACACTTGATTTTGTTGTAAGTTGAATTGGAATTCTTTAACGACTCGGACACATTTTAGAATTCTATTACAAGCTATGTTTATTCGGGATCAACCTAGATCGGTGAATTAATTGTCGGTGAAGTGTTGTATCTGCGAAATGAGTGTTGGTGAAATAAGGCGGATCCCTCAAGAAAACCCTATTTTAATTTTATATAAGTCAATGTATTTATATATTAAAGGAAAAAAGTTTATACGTATGATTTAAATTTAAGTTCGAATATGAAGCTAGAACTTTTTGTAACATGATCAAGCTTTATTCACCAGAGGTTTGTACTTTCTAGAGATACAGCCTTCATCCAATGGCGTTACCTTTCATTAGGGATTCGCTGTTTTCGCCAGAGTTTTGTCTTTCGTCTTTTTTGGGCTTAGATTTCGTATTTCGACATTTTCAAAAAATGGATCCGACTAAAGATTATATAAATACCTAATATCACGGCTTTTCATTGATCATTGTGACTAAGAATGTCACCGAAAGTATCTTGATATGCTAGAATATTTTCGATAAATCTATTGTGCCAAAAGTATAAAATCGAAAATCAAAGTTTTACCAAAAAGAAAGTCCTACCATAATTCTACCAAAGTTAAAAAAACATTACTGAAATTCGAAATTTCTACTAAAGACTTGATACAGCTAACAAATGCTGTGTAGAAAATTAAGTCTAGAAGATAAAATCCGATTATGTTTCATTATACCTGGTCTTCTTTAATTACAATTGGTTTCGATAAATTGTCTCTTTAAATAAATAAGCATAATATTATTTTTGATTTGTGTTTACCGAATATTTCTAAGAATAAAATAGTGTTTGTGTCGTGCTTGAAGTTGTACTGACTGAAATTAGTCCCTGAAACTGGAACTTCTTGCATGCATTAGTTAGTAAATTTTAAATAAATTTAGCTTTAGGCGCTTCAAGTTACAACTTCAAGCACGACATTTATCTACGTATAATATCAATATATACGTATATAGTATATTTAAGATACGTAAAATCTTTTTTAACCTATTAAGATTTCAGTATAATAATACATAATACATGTTAATAAGAATTTTCTTTAACAATATTTTAACTTTTTGAATTTATACACAGATAATATATATCATTCAAATTTTGATAACAATATTTGTCTTTTACTAACTCATTAAAAAATAATTACATATCGTATAGTTATAACAAATATTGTTTACTAAAATCAATTTAGCATAAATTTATGGTTACGCCTCACTTGACCGACACTCATTTCGTAGACGTAATATTTTACCGACACTCAATTCACCGACATTTTTATTTCGCCGACACTTATTTCACAGACACTTTATTTCACCGAGGCTCAATTCGTTTACATGTTTTTTTTTTATAAATTCTGTTAACCTTAACCCTAATGATAATGACCAGAATTATTTGTCGGTAAATGGTAAGTCTACGAAATGAGTGAGATACGTTTTATAATAAAGTTTTAGACTATAAAAAAAAAAATTATTATATGAATAACTAACTATATGAAATCTTTGCTACGTAGCAAAATGACCCTACCCGCCATTGTTACACGAGATTTTTATTAGGAAAATCATAATAAATCTATTGTAAAAAAATTAATACCTTAACATCACTACTCATATTTCGATAAATTTCGAAGCTATTCACATTATTGAATAGTTCAAAAGAAAGTTTAGATCTTAAGCCTTCTTTTGATCATTGTTTGACCATTCAATCATGAGAATAGCTTCAAAATTTATTGATATTAATAATGAAAGTTAAGGTATTAAATTTTTTAAAAATGCCAACCTGCTTGATTTCTATTGACAGCAACCTATATAAAAATATATCAACCTTTAGTATAGGCTATATCCTAAATCAAACTTAAATTCCAATTTTAATCTAACTTTAATTAAAATTGATTTTTTATTTGCTTTAATTTTGTATTATATTAATTTACAAATAATACTAATATATGCATATATTAGAATATTATTTAAAAAAATTACTATAAAAAAAACAAAAAAATTTAAAAATAATACCAATATATATATATACTGTATATTACTAAATTGTATTTTTAATATATAATAATTTTTATCAAAAATTTTATTATATGTTTCACTAATTTTTAAAACAGCTATTAATACAAATTTTTGATATAATAAATTTTACAATAAAATTACTTAGTTTACCCTAGTGTATAAACACGAGTATAATTTGTAATCCAACATTTAAGAACAAAAAATTCTATTAAGTTGAAGTTATATTAAAGTAGGATTTAAAGTTAGGTAAGGCATAGCCTATACTAAATTTTGCAAGATTTTTTTTATTAGAACCCCAAAGGTGGTTTCATATATAAAATTTTGAGTATTATAAGCATCCGTGTTTGATACACTAGTGTACAAATTGTGTAATTACCATTTAATAACTTTTTATTATATTAATTTAAATTTCTATATAATTTAAAAGTTATATTAATTTAAATTTATATATAATTCAAAATTCGGTAAAAAATATTATATATTTATATAATAAGCAAAGGAAATTGGTATTTATACCCCTATTTTTACTATTCATACCACCATTCCTATAAAAAAATCATTTAACCAAATATTACATGGTATAAGCAAAGCTGAAAGTATGAATACGTACGTAGTAATATCCATTATCCTAAAACTAGTAGTAGAGTTTATTTTTTTTTTAGCAATTACTAGGAAGGAAATATAAATAGCAAAAGTAGGGGTACAAATAGTATCGCGAGTATCACTCAAAACAAATTTGTTAAAATATTTAAGTTTCTGTAATGTTGCTTGGAATTTTATATATTATCATACGTGTATATTATTTTTAGCTTTGTACATATATGTTTACTTTAGCTAATTAGTGTTATTTTAGCAAACAAGCCTCATATAGCCTTATCGGCTTTTTTTGTTGTGGGCGTTCCTATATGTTATAACAAAATATTTTATACGTAGCCTTTATGTGATGTCTTGATACATTAATTATGGGATTTATGGCGCAGTTACGCCCTTTAGCCCGTGACAGTATCTACGTACGTACTTACGTAACATTATTATTACAAAAAAAATTAAGAGTCACAAATTGTGCAATATTTATGATTTAATAGATTTTAATAACTAATTAAAGTTGGAGAACAAACTAATTATTTCGATATATAATGATAGGATCCGATGCATATTTGGACAGAAAAATAGTTGTACATTAATAATTTGCGTAATATTAGGCATGTATAAGTGGTAGGTTTTTCTCTCATGTATTTGTCTAGTATTCGTCCGTTGAACTATTATTATATGCCGACCATTGGACTACTCATTAATCATGTCTTACAAATATAATAAGGCGCATATGTGCATTGTGTAGCAATCAATTGTAACAACCGCGATCGACCACAGATCTTTTGTTAATACCGGCACATTTTTAGATTCATCTTAACGCTAACCAGAATGCACATTATCGTATATTGTTACGGATGGGATCAAGAACTTTCATGTGCAATATGGGTTCAATAAAACATTTTACGTGTCATTATAAGTAAACTCATTCCAAAAATTCTGCATTGAATAAGCATTTTATATCAAAAGTTGACTTATTTACCATGATCATGTGATAAAATTTGTTCAAAATGTTTGTTAATATATACATTGAAATTAATTTGTTCAATGTAAATATTTAAATATTTTGCACATGTTTTAGGGTGCATATCCACTTATCCAATCAAAAATGGAATTAACAAAGATTATTACCGATATTTTTGGTTGCCACATTATAGAACACCGCATTTGTATTGATTGTTACTCGGTATTAATTAACAGAAAAATGGTCCTCGAGACTATCAGTTCTTTTATTCCTTCTCACCGTGTGTTGTTTTTTTTATAAATTTTTTCATTATGGTTTTTCAGTAGATTTTTTTTTGCAGAGGTATCTTATGGAACAGATCAGTCGGCGAATTGTTCCTCGATTGCAAAAAAAAATATCAAAAATTCCTCGAAAAAACGAATGAAATACATCCTTCATTAACACAAAGGAAAAAAAAAAATCAAACACATACACGCATAGCTGTGCTTTGAGCTTAACTCATTATCACATCAAAGTAACCTTTAGTTCTTGTTTTACTCACACACAAACTACATTCAAGTTAGAAAGGTACTAATTTTCTCTCCTTAAAAAAAAAAAAAAAAACCGATAGTCGAAACTCGAAGAAGCAGATTATACATAAATGTATCTTCGCTGGACGATTACAACTACAACAATGAAACTATTTCGGATTTTATTGACCTTGATCCTCTTTGGGGCAGTAGTAAATGGACTAACAAGTAAACGTAATTATACTCAATAAATTTCTTACTAACATAAAAGAGGGTGTGATCCGGGCTATAATTTGATTTTTTTTTTCACTCACAAATTAAAAAAAAAAAGACCCATCCCCAACTCCTGGCTCAAAAACTAATTTACATTCACCAAAAAAATCCACACCAACCCCTTCACGTAAACATTCAACTAACCATTCAACTAAATCAACTAAACCATCACCAAAACCAACTAATTTATCACCTAAATCATCACCCAAACCTTCATTATCTGTAAATAAATTGTTAGTGCCTACAGACGACAGTGAAGACGACGACAATAGCGACGATGAAGATAACGGTGACGATGAAGTTTCGACTCCTACGCGAAAAATCCGCCAACCAACAAAATCCGCAACTCGAAGCACCTCTCTTTCAATTCACAAGTCAGCTACAGTTACAGCAACTCCTCTTGCTGCGACACTTTCATCTAATACAGCAACAATAACATCCGATAATAATCCTTTACCCACACTAGCTGGAATTACAAATAGTTCCGCACAAGCTCCAATACCTTGCCTTGATGGTGATTCTATAAATTCTTTATCATGTCAAGACTCTACTCACTATTATTGTAATGTTACGGACCATCAATGTTATGCAAGACTTTCAGACAATTCACAATGTCAAGATGATTCTGTATGCAATTTAAACTCAGTTTGTAGTGAAAATGTATGCGTTCCTTCAAATAATTCTACAAATTCTTCACCTGATATTGGTAAAATTGCTATGATAGTTGGTCCTATCCTTGGAGCACTTCTTCTTCTTGCTGCTTTACTTTTCTGTTTTTGTTGTATGCGCAGAAAAAAAAGAAGAGAAAATGCTGATTCAATGCATGATAACCCTTATCCATTTGCTGCAAGGCCAAATTCATATTCAAGTAGTGCACCACCACCTAGTTCTCCAATGCCTCTAATGCATAATTATCATAATACTGAACATACAAATTCTCATTCACTATCACCGGAAATGGTAGCAATAGCAGCAGGTGCTGTTAATAGAAATAATTCACCTGAAGAAAGTAATAATAGACTTGGAAATCAAAATTCAAGCACGGAATTGAATCAAGCATATTTATCATGTCCTACAAGTATTTCCTCAAGTCTAACACCTCCTAATGATGATGAAAAATCCACTGAAAATGTTAGATTATCGAAATTTATGTTCATTTCTAATGCATTAAACAGTGGAAATACTTTAAGAGATTCAAACACATTATCAAAAGATGATTTAAGTACAAGATCAAATACACCTAAAGGTCCATTCATGTTGGGTGGAATATCAAGTGAAATGAATTCTCCAACATTACCATTAGAAGATTTAACAGATCGTGGTTCAACACAATCTTGTTTTTCAAGTAGTAATAGAGATTCGGATGTTTTACCAACCATGGATCAAGACGAATTCGGGAAATCACCTGAATCAGTATATTTAGGACTTGAGTTTACATCACAGTCAGAAACAAAACCTACAAATAAAGGAAGATATACAATGGGATCAATGTATTCAATGTATTCAACCTATTCTACAGATTATAGTAATCTCCCAAATTCACCATCATTTAACCTTTTACGTGGAATGAATTCGTCAGTGACTGCTAGTAAAAGTGATCATTCTAGAATACGTAATGATAGTTTCAGTACAGTAACAACACAAACTATCTCAAATGCATATGATGATTCTAGAAGCTCAGTTTTTCAATTAAATGCTCCAATATTTAATAATTTTAATAATAACAGTAATAACAGTAATAATGGTAATAATGGTAGATCATTGACACCAACTCATGAATATTCAGATTCAACATATTCTACAGCATCTTCATTGAGTAGCAATTCTAGCAGCCATCATACTTTGACGCCAAAAAATATGCGTTCGACCAATAATAATGATGATCAAACCAGTAAATATAAAGCAGAGTCGAAAAGAACATACGGAATTTTCTAATTAATAATAATGTATTTATTAACGTAGTATGAGCAAAAATTAGTACGTACGTTTTTTTTCTTAGAAAGTTTTCTTTTTTTTAATCCTAATTAGAGAAAAAATATATATTTATTTGAGAAACTTTTATTCTTAATAGTTCTTTTGTTTCTATAAGTTTTTTGTATATGTTTCTTGTAGAATTTTTGTTATATATATATATATATATAGGTCATCATAATTTTGGTTTCTTTTACTATAGTAATAATAGTTTTTTTAATTATTTTTTTTTTACGCTGTGTATTCATAGCAAAGTCATCTAAAATTTACTTTTTTTTTTGCCGGGTGCAAAGTGTGGAGGGAGGACATGCTAATAAGATAATTAATACATTTTTGTCTGTATTTTGCTTATACATGCGATAATAAATAAAATTATATAAACAAGTGGTTTCTTTTGCGATTTCATTTATTTCGCAATAAAAATCACAGCAATCAATAAATTTGATCATCATTAACAATAATATATTTTTTTTTGTCTCATAAAATATCTCGCGCGCGAGTCGCGTGATACACGTATACGTGTAAACAAGTCATGTTGATCAAGTTCGGATTTTTTTTAAATAAATTTTGGTTTAATTTTTATTGAAAATCATTGTAAAAACTGCGTGATTTCAATATAAAGCTAGTCTATAACTACACAGTTTAGAGTACACAGTTTAGAGATAAAAAAAATACTATAAAATTTGGTTATTATTATGTACTTCATTTAGAGCAAATTAATACGTATTAATATCGATACGTATTTGGTATGAAAATTTATACGTATCGATTTTTTGATATGCGAAATTAACTTTAAAAAAAATCCGAGATCGACAGTCAAATCTCCTTAAATACACTCTCTATAAGTGCACACACTCTTTGAACGCACATCAAACCCAGGACTTAGTGCTAAGCGCACATCAATACTCTTCGCACATGCATAAGCTTCTGAGGACACAAGCATATCTTTTTTTGCTTTGATTATTGAATTTTCATTATTATACTGTTTCTTATGAAAACAGGAATTTCGAACACTGGTCCCAAGGGCATGCACTTGGAGAGATTTTACTATAGCTTATTAAGTTATAAGTTTAATAAGTAATCGATAATAACTTTAGTATATAAGAAGGTTATACAACTTTAATTTGAATAATTCTGTATATATTATATCTATAGTCATAAAAAGAAGTTTAACTTAGCTTTAAGTTAGGTCGATGTTATCACTCATAGTCATATGCCATTTCTTGAAACGTTTAGTTTTAATAATTGATATTTGGTGTACTAAGTAAAAATGTTCAATACCCTAAAAAAAAAACCAAACCCGTAATCTCTACTTTTAATCTAAGCAGCCTTAGCCCTAACACTAAAGTTTAAAATTCGAGGTAAAAATTTTCTATGAATTTTATGATTATCTCTGGTGAATTTTAAACGAACTCAAAAACATACACAATACTGGTAAATTTTACTTCCCGTAATATTTAAATGAATTCTTATTATTTTTAAGATATATTAATTTACACTTATTTACGCATGTTAATTATTTTCATAATTAGAATTGTGATACCTTTGGACAATTAATATTAATGAATTATGTTATATATTTTATTATCACTATAATTGACGTTATTACTATCTCTATAATTGATTGTAAATACAGTACATATAATTTAACATTCATAATTTAATTATTGTTTAAAATCAACATTAATCATCCCCTCATGCGAAAACCGCCTCCACCTCCACCCCCACCTCGACCAGAGAATCCTCTATAGCATCGATAACAACGATAGTATCTTCCATATCTATAGCAACCGCGACAATACCAATATCCAAATCCAACTTGTTCTGCATCGATGTCGTTATTGTCAATGGCTTCATTAGTGACATCATTGTCGACATCATCGACATCAGTAAATTCAGGCTTGAAGTCAATGGTTTGTGAGATATCAGAGTTGTCAAGGGAATTTAATGAAGTTGAAGCGATGACATGAATAAGGACAAATAAAAAGATTAAGAATTTCAACATCTTTTTGGATTATTTTTTTTTCTCTCTTTTTTTTTTGAGAGAGAGATTGAGAGAAAAAGTTGGATTAAGAACATGCCATTTTATACATAATGAGAAAGTGGAGAAATAAAATATTTCATAGTCTAATTCGTGGCTAGTTAGGCTGCATAAGTCTATTAGTTTATCTTATTTGATGAAACTAAAAACTATACTACAATTGCTGGTAACTCAAAAATTTGATTGACTTAACATTATGATTTACGCAGTTCTACGTAGTAAAGTGCTGAATATTATTCAAAATGAAAATAATTTTATTAAGTCTCCTATTCAATGAATATTAGAAATTAATATTATACTTATATTTATAAATTTCCGATTCTTCGTTGTTAATATCACCCCCAATATAAGGTTCAATTTTCAAATTTCACCGAACTCCTAACGCTAAAATAACCTGAAAACGGTACAAAAAATTAGTTTCAACCCGAAAGTTTATACTACATTAAATGAAATTGCAATTCATCATTGACTAATTCTAGGATTTGGTAACTTCAAAATTTTTGTCTTCATCCCAGAATAATATATACTTTGGAAAAAACCGTAATTTAATCTTTAATGCAAGCCAACGTTATAATAATTCTGCCCAGCACTAAATCTATTCATTTGTGACTTACATAACAGATAAGATAAGAGTATGTAACTTATGACGTACGTTGGGGGTGATTGATCGACTAATTGCAACAAATATCGATATAGTCCTATAGTAAAACAATTAGTCCATTTTTTTATATATGATCGTATTGTTACACGGATGAATATCACTTTTTAATAGTAATTTACTATACGAAAGTGATAAATCTTAAAATTTGACTTCTCTCACAGTTTTAATTATTCGAATTTAAATGCAAGATATAATAGGTTAAAAAAGTGTGCTTTTTGACTTGTCGTGAGGATTTTTTCTTTTGCATTTAAAATTTTAATTTTTTTATAATATTTTGATAATCTAAAATGACTATTTGTAAATTACTCGCTTAATAACTTAAATATTAAAAATTTGACATGAGAGTTTAAAGCACTAATGGCAATGCATAGATTAATGTATTTACTTTTTCAACATTCTGAATATTCATCGAGTAGATGCAATTCTAAGAAAAACATATCAAAAATTTTATAATATCACAAGTATTATTTGATTGGCGCAGGTTCAATTAATGACACTTAAAATTACTTAAAATAGTTTGTAGCACAGATTTTGATTATGATACGTAAGTATGTAGATGAAATTGCACATATCGATATTGATATTGATATTTTGGAAAGTTCATTTAATTTTGAGTTGTATTAATTATTTCATAACATTTTTGAATTGAGACACAAAGTAATAATTTTCTCTTATTGTTCTGGTCATGCAAAATTAAATGCATAACATTTCTACTATGGAAGATATTTATATTTCATAAATTTGTTATTTCTGTATTCATAGTGTAATATTATAGATATTTTTAAACATTATTTTATATTATTTTATTGATATTATATTAGTTTTATATTATATT